CTCCACGAAGGCTAGTTTATTCAATGCTTGATCCAGGAGTTTCGTTTTTGTGTGGGTTGGGTTCAAAATTACACGGCTACGGAGTTGAATATTGATAGTCGTAAACTCGGAATTGGCACGGCTATTCAATGCCGGTTATGAAATAAAAGTTGAAGACACAAATGAAAGGAACCAATATCAATTCACACCAATATCTTTTTTTTTTTTTTTGCCGCTTTATTGGAAATTCATTCCACTATGGGTCGTGCAGGGGAAGTGAGCCAACGAAGTGATCTGAAAAAGACTGCACAAACAATACTTGAGGTTGGTTTGCGAAAGCAAGCAGGGCTGTGTGCAAAGTTTTTGCTAATTTAAAATTATTAATATCTGTACATTTTTGTATTAATTTAAAATTTAAAGCAAAAAAATACAGACTCTAAAAACACCAAAATGGTACTTTCTCTGCAGTAAAAGTAGAAATAAAAATATATTTATTTTAAATGTTTCGGATGTTTTAAAAACTTTTTGAGCATTTCTTTTTCTTACACTCCCTCAATTCCGCTGCTAACTCTGTTCACATAATCAACCAATTCTAGTATTTTCTGAATTTGACACACACCGTTCCCTACTTCAACGACGCCCATGTAAGGTAAGGGGTAGGAGTACGGATATAGGAGTCCAAATTTAAAATTTAAGTACGCCATGGGTAAGTACAATTCCAAAATATACGAATGCCGCATTTGCAGATTTAAAAAAATGTAACTCTGAAAAAAATTGCAGCAGTTCTAATACTTTTTGTGAAAATAAGCCTTGGTGTCGTTGACGCTTATTCCAATTTTAACAGCGTTTAAAATTATAATTGAATTTAATTAAAAACCAGTTTTCACGAATTTAATATCCGTAGCAACCAGATATTAATGTAATTTTTTTTTAAAGAATTAAAGTTACTAAACTTTTGGAGATTAAATGACACCGTGAATAATTGGAATAGACAAAAATAATTGGAATAGATCAATTTCTTTTTTCCTTAACTGAGTTATGTGCTTTTGAAAATATGACATTCCCAAGTTGTGGAATTGGCTGTAACTTTGTCTGAATCTTTACAGTAGCTTAAAAATTGCAATTGGATACTTGCAAGTGACTTACTTCATCGGGAGTAAATTGCAACATTTGTCGATTCAGAATCCAATCAGGTTCGACATACGCGCATGACGTCGCTTACAGGTATCAGGTATCCAATTAAATCTGATTTAAAACACATGGATGGGTCTAATCAAGTATTCTTCTTTTCAAGTTGCAAGTACCCAATTGAAATAAAATAAAAATAAAAAATGTAAATTGAGTACTTTTTTCGTTTTAGGTCAGCTTCTTTCTATACGCATAATTTTAAAAACATTTCCAAATAATTTGTAGGGTCTTAGACAATAAAATTTAAAAAAAAAAAAAAAAATTCTATTAAATTCTTTCAATTGCAGTTTGCCAGTCAATAGAAACAGGGAATGTGCTTTGCGATTTGTCTCAATAGTTATTGCCAACTTAAATAAATCGTGGTTTTGATGCCATGTAACATGTGCGTAGATTATTTTGAATTAAATATTGGCAATCGAAATGGGCTGCAGGTGGCGTAGAGCAGAACTCTTTTCCTATGGCAACACTTCACATGCTTTCCCCATTAGCGTGTGGAAAGTCATAGAGGAAGGAAGTACGTTAGTTTCTCTCTTGATTTTCATATAGATTAAAATCTTTTAACTTGAAAAACTACATGGAACTGAAAACTACATTAAACATAGTTCTAAAGAAAAGTATCATGGAAATTTTAAAAAATATTTTTATTAAATAAAAAGGAAAAATATTAAGAAAGGGGAAAATATCGTAGTACATTCCTATATAACTGAAAAGAGGAGGATAGGGAAGGGAGAAGGGCTAAAGGCATGAAACCGGTCTCTCCCCAGATGGCGTATTCGAGTGTTGCGATCGCGAATATGCGTATAGAGGTATCTAAGCTGACGTCACTTCACTTATCTGCCCACTGGAAATCCATCAATGATGAATCAGTAACTGATACAACCAATAGGGATACGCTTCTACTAGGATCGGAATACGAATCGCCCAATAGGAACAGTGCAAACGGAAATGGATTGAAGGATAGAGGAACATTGATCTAGTTCAACCTCTGGATTGGACATCTTCATATTATTCAAAATTCAATATAAAGGTTGATTATATAAAATTAAATATATATACATAGATTATTTAAAACTAAATAAATATACAAATAGATTATTTAAAATTATTCGTTTTGATTTTCAAGTTTGACCCAAACGTACGTAATGCTCTAGAGTTTCAAGAAAAAAAGCCTCTAGCTTGTTTTATAACTTAATAGTTAATTTACTAACTTTGAACAACAACTTTAGTAAATACGATTGCAAGAATTTTCTTCCGACATTTTAAAATCTTTAAGCGAGGAAGACACAAAAATGCTATCAAAATCAGTATGGAATCTGAATCTCTAGCGTTGAATAAGGATTGAAAAACATCATAACTGCTTTGATTGCCTGATGAAAATTAGAAGCAGTTCAAGTCCCCTTTCACTGTCTCCCTCGTCTATCTTACAGGTTCGATGTTTTCAGTCCCGCCTTACGCAGTAGTAATTCATCGTATTTCCTTTTAATACTTATTTAAATATTAATTTTCGACCCTTATTCTTTGTACTTTTTCGGCTTCATATTTAACAATGATACATTAAGGATGATGATTTATTGAAGAAAATCCTCATTCTTTCTAAATTTAGTCAATTCATTTTTTTATATTCTTGTCTACAACACAGTGGCAAATCCAGCGGCCCCCCCCTCCGAAAAAAAAAATTTTTTTTTAATGGTTTACAGAAGAAATAAAATATTTTAGAAATTATTTAAGGGGGCATATGCCAAAGTTTCTAAAAAACGCATTACATTCATTATTTAAAAATTTTGAATACTTGAATTATTTTTCTATTGTTCATTATCAAAAAAATAAATGAGAAGGCTAGCATTAGAAACCCCAGTTTTTTATTTTTTTTAATTAAAAAGTTTTTTTTTTGTAAAAAAATTAATTGTAGGGGGGATCTGTGTCTATGACTCCCCCAAGAAAAATTTCTGGATCCGCCCCTGCTACAGTATTATCTTGAGGAACTTTGAATAAATTTTTCTTAAATAAAAAAAAATAAAAAAAACTTTTTCAAATTATGTCTATAATTTACATTTTGTTATCAAGCAATGTCCATAGTTTATCAACATTTGCCAAATTGACCAATCCTCCTTTGCATCCAGAATCTTTCATTTTAAACCAACATGCCCAGATTAAAATATGTTGACTATATTAACGCAGAATACGAAGCGCGATAAAGTGAACAGATGGAACATTTTGGCTAGGAAGAGAACAGAAGGATAAAATATACTAAAGAAGATCTTGGCTCACAAAGGGCTGTCGAGGCGGTAAAAAAGAAGAAGAAGAAGTTTAATAAAATCTAGGGAAGTGATGAACTTTTTGTTTATCGAAACCTTTTCTTGAACGCATTTAAAGCGTCTGCTATAATTGTGACTTCAAACCAAATAACAAGTAGAAATATTTCATTTAAATTTCAATTTTGTCTTCCTTGGCTAAAGTTTAAGAAAAGAGGATAAAAGATATAGTTTTCTTTTTTGTTTGCATCAAGTTATTGAATTGGGAAAAATAACAAAAAAAAAAAAAAAAAAATTAACTAAGCTATTGTGTCATTTATGGCGATTAAGAAAACTATTTTATTTATGCATTAAAAAGGGGGTGAGGGTGAGATAGTTCATTTAATATGAAGTGGAAAAACATGAATATACGTACACTATTTTTTCCTTTTGCTCTTCACTAAAATAGTTACTTAACAAACCAGAATCACTAACTTTTCGAGTTTGGTGCAATTATTTAATCACCTCGAATTATTATATTAAAACGCTATCGGAATCATTTTATTAAATCACTTCGTTAAATTTTATTTATCCATAAAAATGGAAAATTGGATAATGTTTTACGGTACCCTTATAAGACTTATAGTGAAGTTAGGTTCCTCTTCGTAAAATACCTATAAAAAAATAAATACGACAAAATAAATTAATAAACTTGAATGCCACTAAGTTTTAGTAGTTAAATGGATGTTTATCAACAAAAAAATAAATAATACAAAAAAAAGAAAAGAAAAGAAAAAAGAACAATATTCAAAATAGAAATTGAAATCTAAATTCAAGACAATTGAAATGTCAATGATTGTCGTCCGTTTATTTATTTATTTATTTTTGCCTCATTTTGCTATATTTGATGCGCTTGCTCTTGTCGCAATAATGATATTTTTTTGTTGTTATTTTAATGTTCAAAATTAACAATTATTGTGTTTTTAAATATCTTGCTATGCATTTTATTTAATTATTTTAATAAATAACTTTAATGAATATACAGAACAAAAAAGTTTAAAAAAAATAAAGAAAGAACTGAAATAAAATCGTTTTTTTTGTAATTTTTTAAAAGATTACTTGAACCGACTGTAATTTTTTTCAGCGGTAACGGAAAAAAAAAAAAAATCATTGATCAAGTTTGATATTAATTTATGTATAAATGATTTATTTTAATTTATGAAACTAATATTTAATTAATTTCTCGAAATTTTTAACGTCATTAAAAAACTTAAGACATTAAGAAAAAAAAATATTTAATCAACATAGAAATAAAAGAAGTTTTTGTTAAAATAAGTTCCGTTTATGTAAAATAATTCTCTTTAAATAAATTCTAACGAGTAACAAATGTGCTCTGATTCATTTCATTCAAAAATTTGAAAAAGAAATATAATTCATTTTAAAATTGCATCACCTATCTAGTGAAAGGGGTGTCCCTGGGATAATACACTACTTATTCAGTGTCATCAATGTATATAATCTGCTTGGATTATCATGATTTACCAAAAATTTGAGAACAGACATAAAACGTAGTGACCTTCGACACGTGATATCTGTTATCCAATCACAATCGCTGTCACTTAGCGCCTTGTTGTTTCCACTCCGCCATAGTAGAGACTGCCATCTTCCAAGTATTTTTCTTACCTAGACCAAGTTTTGTGGACTGATGGCGGTAGAAATTACTTAATAAAGTTCGATTTTAGTCCATAGGACTTAAATGATCATGGAGACACCATGACGCACCCTAATTTTGTAACAAATGGCGCCAGCCTTGAAGACTGCCATACTAATTTCTTCGCATTGGTAAGTACACTATATACTGTCGTAGTCATAGCTTAATGAATAAGAGAGGGCGAAAGACCTTTACAGCCGTAGGCATTTTAAACGCCGAACCATAGTAGTATATACAGCTGCCGCTTTTAACGGTGCTAATATTTTAGTATAAAAATTATAACAACATTTAAACAACTGCAGGGTCTTAAAAATAACTGATATGTAATAAATCATCTATCTTCCTTCTAAGTCATTAACGATGTAAATATTAGTTATAAACACACTATCAACATTTAAATGCTTGTTTGTTTGTTTTCATTCCATGCTATTCTTAAGAAATGACAACTATTTAACTGACATTCAAATATGTTAGAAACATTTTACGAAAATTTCAATGTTTATATTTTTTATACACCTTTAGACAATTTTGTTACAGATGACCTGTTTTGCTGATATTATTACTCAACGTAAGAAGAGTAGTTGAATCTCTTTTTAGGGCATTGCCACTCATTGGTTGACGTTTTAATAACTTTATTTCATTTAAAAATTCTATTTGATTTATTTACTTAATTTAAAATAAGCAAACAGATCTTCACTTTTTATGCCGATCTTGTTTATGTTCAACCAATACATGTGATTTTCACTTTCTATTTAATTTTTATTTGACAGGTCGCTTCAAACATTACTGATCGCTAAAAATGATATATTTTTTAAAAATTCGAAATTGAAATATGTTTTTGAAAGTTGTTTTGCACCCTTGTCTGCCATTCAATTTTTTGTTTTTCTCCATTAATTAAAATAATTATCCATTAGACAAGCACCGAATTAAGTGAAGATATCCTTTGTTAGGTAATGTTTACGTTATGACCTTTTAATTTACGATTTTAAGTTTAAATTGCAATTTGGCATGATGCCCAGGTTGATAATAGATAAACATGTTTGTTCAATTATTATTGTAAGATTACAAAAAGCATGCTCTGACAATGTGTTTGATAATAAATAAAAACAATATTTTGATACATTATATTTTTTAAATTTCATGTTAATTAAATGGATATGTTATAAAACATTAAAATTTTCATGTGATTCAATTATGTAGCTATTACACATTAACTAAATTATTCTCGATAATTCCTTTAAAGTTTTGAGACACTGAGGATGTTCAGTTAATTTAAAATTCTCCAAACATATCTTTTGTTATTTATTTTTAATCATTCTTTTCAGTTATAAAATTATGTCTATAACTTCAATTTATAAGAGTCAATTTATTTAGATGTATCTAATCTTCTCTAGAATTTTTACTTCACATTTTGGAACAAAATATTAAAATTTTTTGTTTTTAAGTATTGAAATTTGTATAAAAACATGTTTTAAATTATCTACTGACATTTTTTTTGAAAAGTCACTCAATTTATAATGCTTATCCAATATAAGTAATAATTGTTTGAATTGTGTCAAAACAATATATTATATAAATTACTATAGAAATTTCTAGAAAGTGACATAAATTCAAAATGTTTGTTTTTATAAATTATGTATTAATAAACTTTCAATTGTATTTATATGTAGAAAAAATATTTTATAAATTACTACAGAAATTTCTGGAATGTGACACATTCAAAAATGCTTTTTTTTATAAATTATAAAAATAAGCATTTTGAATTTTTAGTTATTTTATAAAAATAACATAGTATATAAATTAAAATTATAGTATGTATGGTACCTATTAATTTAAAAGATTTAATATCTAATTGTCAGACTTCTTTCTAATTGACAATATCTAATTGTCAGACATCTTTCAATGTTGAAATAAGTGACAAAGCTTTTTTATGTTAATGTTCCCATTTCGATTATATTGGTTCTATAAAATTTTACTCTTTTTGAGTTGTTTTTTTCCTAAAGAGAGTAGAATGTTAGTAAAATCATATATATATATATGAAGGTATTGATTATAGTTTGAGGGTATTGATTATATTTTTTTTTTGACGTTAAGCATGTCTAGTTCTGGCCACAAAGTACATGCTTCGAGTATGCTCCCTTCTATGACTTTGATTTTCTTGTACGACTATCAGACTGTCATTAAGTCTTTGTTACTTTATTTAGCTCAGATTCTGATCTTTGAAATCTTTTCCTTTTGTTTGACACATACTAAATGTCATATTAAGCCACATCATACTTAATGTTTTATCTAACTTGTCTTTTAAAAGTTAGATTGTCTTTTTGTCTAATTTTTTTTTTATATCTCACTTATCATTGAAATTTGAAGGCACAAAACAAAGAAATTTTTTTTTAATTTGAAGTAAAATAAAATTGTGATATTTTGCCTTCTCTTATTCATTACCATGATGTTTTTAGAATGTAACAATTAGAAAATGGCTCATAAAAATATAAAGAAACCCATATACAGTTGAAGATCTGTACAATGTAATTCTATAAACTGCAATTCACCATAAACATTAACTTTTATGGGTGTAAATAATGAAAATCGCAGCTAAACATTTTTGTATCTAAGCAAGAAGAATGAACTTTTTATATTTGTTTAATTATTTAGGAAAGCTGGTCCTTAAAGATATTTTGGGAAATGTATTCTTCTAAATATATAAATTATATAAGAGAGTACAATTTCAAAAGCTAAGCAAACCAAAATTGATAAATTTGTTAAATTAGTTCTAATGCTCTGAAAAACTAATTTTTTTTGTTGTTGTAAATAATTATTACTTTACTCCATGTTTTTAGTGTTTGTATCAAAAAATTATTTAAAGCATTTTATGATCTGTTCCAGATTAATATTGTTGCCACATGTAGTTTGTAAGTTTAAAGATGTGTGATATGATATTTATATAACATTAAATTCTAAACAATGCAAAACCTCACGCTTCAAGGTTTGCATTATAAAGATATACTATTGCACTACATTTTGTAATCTTGTGTAGCATTAAAAAATAGTTATTTTATATATATACCAGGCAGATTTATTATCTAACTGGAAGTAGTTGAATTTTTTAAAACTAGATGTCAGCACATGTCATGTAGTTTTCTTTATTTGAAAGGTAGTTGCCTTCTCTTATGACAATTATCTTGAAATTCATGCAATAGTTAATTTATTTAATATTGATTTTTTTCAAATTTTGTTATAAACAATATTTAAGCATTAACTTTAAGCAAGGATGTATTTGTTATGTTATTAATTATTTTAAAATAATTCAATTTGACATTTCGGTTGACTTTTACAATTTAGTCCTTATGCTATTACCAAAAAGTTTTAGTGCAACTAAATGTTTCTTAATTAGGAGTATAAATGTATATTTTCTTTCATTACTCAAACATTCAATAAATAAACTATTTAATTTAAATAATTTCTTAAATAAATATACGAGTATATATTTTATCTACTTGTGATGATATTTCGCTGAATCAAATGCATTTATCAACCCATTTGTGTCAAGACCTTTAAAAAGACAGTTACTTTTTTTAAAAAAGGAAAAGCTTTAGCTCAAAGGGCTTATTCAGATTAATTTTGCTGAAACAAGGTAGCTTTGCATAGCAATTAAATAGTATAAAAGTTTATAACTGGATTTAAATGTGATAAATTTATTTTTCAAAGTGGTTGGTATGGTAACAGCAAAAAAAATTCACTTGGTCTAAACAAATATGTACTACCACTTTTTTAAGATTGTAGTTTCTCATATTTAGACCACTTTTTGCAAAATGCATAAATTTATGAATGACAAAGAGTGTACCCCCAATGTCAACACTGCAGGTATGCGTTCTTGCTGTGAGAGACCAAGATAAAAAAAAATGCCATTGAGAGCATGGTTGTAACTGGTTTACTATTGAGATATATATTAAGTGCAGGGTTGATAAAAGTCAGATTTTTTTCAATTCATTTTTTTGAAAAGTTAAATCTAATATTTTGAAAAAAAAAATTATTTTATTAAAAATTATTAATAAATATTTTCAATTTTAAATACAATTAATGAAAAATTTAAGTAATTGACCAATATCATTATTAACTACCACGAAGGTAACTAAAATAAACAAATGTAAAATTTAATTATTTATTTTATTTTCACTTTTAGTATTACCATATAAATTGTTATAAATAAGCATGTGAACCTTGCACTAATATTTATATTTAATTAACGATAGCTTAACATGGACTATAAGAAAAGGCACTTCAAGTTTATCGATATACAGTTTTATTTATTTTTTTAAAAAGTAAATAAATAGGAGATACTTTGTGCTACATATTAATTAAACTAATCAACATGAATAAAGCACAAATAATGGTATGAAAATGGACATATTATAACTATAGTTTTGGTTTCATAAACATGGAGGAAGATTTTGTTATTAGAACCAAAGTTTTGCTAGTATGTCCAATTTTGTGCTGTTATTTGCGCTTTACTCATGGCTGTTTTTGCAGTGCCATAAGAATATTATTATTATTCTTTTTTTAAGATTGAGAAATATAGAAATTCTATCAGCATTAAAATGTTTTAAAAATTTTGTTTACAATCTAAGAATTGTTAGGATTTTCATTGCTATCATATTTTTTAAGAAACCCATATTGAAAAGCTGCTTTTTACAGATGTAAACTTATAAACTAAATTGCACTAAACTTTCACTAATTGCAAAAAACTTAAAATTGAAAGAATTTTAAGTTTTTTTAATGTCATTTCCAAAGTACTGGAGTTCACTAGACTCCAAGTAGAAATGTAATTTTGCTAAAAGATACTTTTAAAATTCCAACAGTATATTTAAAAATTTTTTTTTGAAACAATGATAATAAAATGATTAAATAATAAATTTCATTTTAAAATGTTACATAAATTTTTAATTTTTTTTCTTAATTGCTTCAAATCAATTTTTGTTGTTAAAATCAGCTGATTTAAACTAATGAAGGTGACCAAAAGTTTAAACATTTGTAGTACATAGAAGTTTGGTAAATTAATATCTTTTCATCTCCTTTTTTCCCATAAATTAATATCTTTCCATCTCCTTTTTTCCCATAAATTTATATCTTTCCGTCTCCTTTCCTAGTTTCTGGAGCAATTGTTTGCTCTGAATTAAATGACGCAAAACTATTTATCCTATCTACTTGAATTATATATCATTCAATTCAGTATAAAAAATTAAAAAATACTAATTCGTGTCAAAAATACTTTATATCTGAAAACACAACATTTGAATTATTTGTTTCGTTGACTCATGTACATGTATATTCTCACTTCTTTAAATAGCAATATCAGATTCATAAATTGGTATAAGTACAAATTTGTACATAAAATCTTTGTCTTCTATACTAATTGTATTAGCTCAATCATCTCTGGATTGGTCGCATTCAATTCTGCTTGAAAAAATACATCGGAAACAATGCCTGAACTGTCTGTTGAGAAAAAATTATATTTTCTCGCCAAGTTACCAGCATTTCTTAAAAAAAGGGGGGAAAGTGTATAAATTAGCATGTGTTGGCAAAATTTTATTAAAGACCTGAAAATAATTGTAAATTGAGTAAGTTTAAAAATTAGATTTTTTTTAAATTCTCTTTTCAGTAATGATTTAGGCTTATTTTCTTAATACATTTTAAAATGCTTGTGATAATGTTTTTTACTAATCAGCTAATGTTAATCCGAGATGAAAATAATCTGCAAATGATAAACTGCAAGGCCCAGTGTTACGCTGGAGGAATTCTACTGCTGAGCTGGCAATTCGATAAAATCAAGGAAATGTTATTTATTTTATTACTATTTTTTATTACTATTTTTTTTTAATATTTATGGCTACTCTGAATGATGACCAATAGAAAACAAATCTGCATGGTTTTTCGGTCCCCCCCCCCCAAATTTGAACACTTTTACTTTTAATAACTTTCACGGATGCTGTCTATCTGGTACTAATGAATGTTTACAATGATCCAGAAATCTGTTAGTTTATAGATCCATGGCAGAGGTATGTCTAAGGTTTTAGTAACTCTGGTGACAAGCAAAAGTTATTAGTTGCATTTTCAAATTTTTTGTGATAGTAAACATAACATGATACATACAACATAAAGTCTAATTACTACTCTCCTCTAAACATAAAATTTTCAATGCTAAGGAAGCGAGGCTAATTACAAATACATATGTACAGTATAATGTTCTTTTAAATATATTTTTCTTAAATTGTAAAAGTTAAAATAATATTTATTACAAATTATTATACTTTATTAAAAAGTGAATTGAATTGAATGAACTTATTGTTTGAACGAATATTTGACGGATTAGATGATCGCTCAGTTTGTTATCTAGCACAGCCATATAATATTAAAAATAAGTCGAAAATGTTATATAACCAGGTTTGGCAGAATAATAAATAAAAATATGGATTTATTTGATTTAAATCAGATTTTTAAATTTTTTTTTTTGCAATTACCAAAGCCTTTGTTAATATGTAGTATTAATTATATTATTTAAAAATGTTCTCGCTAAAACAGTTAATATTTCTTTATATTGTTAAAATTATTTAATTCTTTTAAACTAATCAGTTAATAATCAAAATCATAGTTGTTTTTTTCAATATTCTGATATTTTAAAGACTAGATGGAAATTCATCAATTAAATATCCTATGCAGAGCAAATTAGTTTAAATCCATAAGCGTTACTAAAAAGTATTTTAAGTTACTCTGGATGAAACTAGTCCTTTATTATTATTACTTATACTAATTACATGTTAAATAAGTTTTAAAGGTGCATCTATTTTTAATAAACTTAAAACTAAATGGATATAAATTATTTTACTTACAGCTAATGTAAAATTTTAATTTGAAAGTTTCATGCCACTATTGTCCACTTTTAGCTTTTCTTTTTTTTTTATTTTTCATTTTTAGAGTATTTTAAAATATAATTTATGTACATTCTCTTTTCACTATTTCTCTGTATAAAATCTTCTTTAAAAAATCACTCCTAAAAGAATGCATTTATATTTCTAAGAATTATTTTAGACTTAATTTAATTATTTAAAAAAAAAATATTTGGTTTAAATTAGTTATTTTTGTAAAAATAATCTGTTGATTCAAGTTAATGATTTTTTTTTTAAATTGAGTCATTTGAATTGTGATTTTAATCATAATTTTAATAATGTAAAGCCTGGAAATAATGCATGTTGGTAGTTCTTGGTTAGAAATTTCTTTAAACGGATTAAGCCATTTTTTTCTTCTAAAAGCTATGCATTATACCTAACTAGGGCATAGTAATTAACTGTTAATTTTTAAAAGTCGTGTTCATTGAGACCTTCTTTATCCAAGTTTTAGAGAAAAATTGAATGTTGGTTAATATCACTGATCAATTGTTGGTTAATATCACTGATCAATTGTTGATTAAGATCACTGATCAATTGTTGGTTAATATCACTGATCAACTGTTGATTAAGATCACTGATCAACAGTTTTTTAATATCATTGATCAACTGGTGGTTTGTTTCATTCACTTAAGTTTTGAGTGAGATAAAAATATTACTAATTACTGCTGGTTAATATTTAAATTGTAAATTATATTTTAAGCAGAACAATTCAACAAAATGAATGAAATAATTAATTAAAAAAATTTGTAATTTTAATGTTTAGTTTGATTGCTGCCTATTGTTATTATTTTTTAAAGAGAGTTTTTTTCTTCTAGGCTGACCTTTGTGGAATAAAATGGCGACGTTATTATGCTGAAAGTGCATTATGTTACGAGCCTTTAGATGACCCAGTGCTATCTTGTTTTAGCAAGTGTTTAGCTGCTGACATTCTTTGTGTTTGGAGGAGAGTAGCATCACAAGGTCAAGAACAACATCGCCACAATCAAGATGCTAACCAACTTAACTATAAAAAGGAACTGTGGGTGTTTTGGTATGGTGAAGAACCAGATCTTACTGGGATGGTCACCACAGAACTTACTGGTCAGTAACTTTTGCTCACAAATTGGGAAAAGTAGGGTAAAACCGGGTAGCTAAGATTCGGAGGCCTGTTGAAGCTAATTCGACCTTTGCGAACTGTCAGATTTAATCAAAATATTCATTTTTTAGTTTATACAATGTATCATTCATGAAAAGTCATAAATGTACAACTTTTTTTTTATAAATGATTGTAACAATATTACCATACTAGTGGGTTATAAACCAAGTATGCTTATTAACTCTATGGGAAATTTAGAAATACTAAAATTTCACTGAAAAAGTAGCAGGCATTTTTATTTTATATGACAATTCAAGAAAATTATGTATGTAATTTATATGTGATGTTGTTGAGGCTGTACTCAAGGAGGGGGTGCAGTTGTCCCAGGAGTGCTGTATACAGGACCAACATTTCTTGCAAAAAATTTAGTGTTTATTAATAAGTTTTTTTTTAAAGAAAAAGTGGATAGAATTTCTTTATATAAAAGTTATGATTTTGAATGAAGGGTCTTCAAAAGTTCTGCAAAATATGAAAATGAGGTTTTTTGTGCTTTGAGGCCGATAAATTCCAGGGGCCCATAAAAACCTTGTTTCGGCTTTGTGTATAGTTATCTTCTGCTGCTGCACTGCACTTTTGTGGGCCCAGCATAGTCTCACATCAAGGAGAGGTACTTGGTCTTACACCAAGAGCAAAGATTATTGAAACTTAACATAAGAGTGTTATTGTTTGACTAAATATTTATTGCTTGTAAATGTATAAATCTTTAGTTAACTTATATTAAGCTAGACTAAAATAATTTTTGTAACTGTAATGACCAATAATGACTAGTTTAAAAACAAAAAAAAAAGCATTAAGAGAGCTGACATAGTAAAGACAGAGGCCTAAACAGATGCTGTGAATTAATCAACATAAACATGCCAATATGATAGGTCTTTCTTCTTAACTAGTAAAGTGTAACTCAGTTTGTTTGCTAAAATACAGAGCTAATTTCATCAACAGACATAATCAAGGCACACAAGTCTTACCCCACCTTATCCTACTCTCTTCTAGATATTAAAAAAAATTTTTTTCTTCTTAAAATTTTAAATTTTACTTACACCAATAATTTTTTAAGCACCCCCTAAAAGTCTGCAACAACGCTAATGTTGATCTAACATGGAATGGAGATATGTATTGCCCCTTCAAGTCGTTAGCTTTTCAAGTATTGCCATAGAAAAAATCGTATGGCATCAGTCAGATCTGCTGTATAAAGTCTTCAGTCTTAGCCACTTAATGTATATATTTTATTTTCAAGGATATGGTTGTTCAAACCTTGACTTATGGATGAATAGTATAAAGTTAGAGTTATATGCAGTCTTTTTTATCACCAAATAGGCTAGCTCTGTTTGTTGACATGCTTATGTAACAAACAGAGCTAGCTTGTATGCATTATGTAATGAGATTTTCAATTATTCTTAAATTGTGTAATTCAAAAAAAGGAAGAAAAAACGTTCATGCGAACCATCAGTCTTTTGATGGAGATTGATGTCCCAGGCCACAATCGATCACCCTTTTTTCAACAATAGCACAAGTCGTTTGGTGCATGCTACTCATGTAACTAGCTTTACATACAAATTTTTTAAAATAAAATATTTTCTAGTTTTATAAGAGTTTGTTTTTTCAAAATTAAATTTAAATACATTAAAATTTATTCAGTTAAATCTTATTTCTTGGAAATGCACATTCACTGGATAGCATGTAACTACAAACCTTCATTTTGAAATGCATTTCTATGTTAATATGCCTTTATATTAATAATTTAAAATATAAATTATTTATTATATTGAATTTTTTTAAGGTGGTTCTAAAATTAAGATATTTTAATTAATGCTTACTTTATTTAAAAAGAATTCTATATTTACCCTTAAAATGACCAAGCTTACTGACTACTCAGTTTGTTATTATATTTCATAAAAAAATAATTTTTTAAAGACTTATTTAGTGCCAAAAAATTTATCCAGTAAATTTGTTCATTAGTGCAATAATGTTTAAAATTATTTTTAAATTAGTGTACTTGTAATTGATCATTTATTGTTTTTAGAAGTGTAGTCTACCCTGCCTTTTGCAGAGATAATGCACAGTCCTTGCTTTTTTCGTAAAAATGTTGCCCACTCCCTCATTTTTTTAAAAAATAAATAAATAAAATATACCCTTAGTTATTTTAACAATTTTTTTCCTATAGCAGAAACCAGAAGCTTCAAATTATGATATTTACTGCAAATCATTTATACTGTTAGACCTAATAATCGTTCAAGTAATTTTGTTTAAATAGTTTTTATAAGATTTAACAGCTAAATCATTTTTCTTCTCAACTGAAGTTGCCGTTATTTTAAACATAAACACCCTGCTCTTTTTATCTCTAGATATCTTATACGCGACTTTTAAGTAAAGTTATATTTCACATTTATTTCTAGTTTTTTTATTTTTGTAATATTGATTAGCATTAAAACGGTTTGCATTTTAGTGTTTGTGTATTTCTAACATTATTACGTTAGTTATTTACGTTAAAAAGTGAAACTTCAAATCGTAATATAGCCACTGAGCACACAGTATATTTTTACTGGAAGTAAAAAAGCGTATTTTTCATGAAACGGCATTTCCTCTCTAGTTATGCCATGCACTCATATCCCCTTCACCTTTCACCTCTTCCGGAATAGAAGTTCGGGGGCCCTGCACCTCCTTTTCTACTTTTTCTCTCATACCTGCTTTCCCGCGGATGACGGACCTTGTAGAATGTGAAGGACAAGAAATCCTCTACTCACCTGTGCGCGCATTATAGCCCAAAATTCTCTTCCACTGTCTATTTTATTTTGTTGTTGTTAATTTGATTCGCTTATGCAGAAAAGGGTAGTAGACTCTCATGTTTGTGTACTGGCCTCACTCGGAAGGTTTTTTATTTTATTTGTTGATGAAAGCTTTATCTTAGTTTTTGTTTCCTTTCACTTTCTTCCCATGTATTGTTTTCTGTTCTTGGATTTTTAATTTTCATTATAATATTGGATAGGCTTTTATTTGCAGTTGAAATTTCAAGCTAATGAAGTGCCTTTTTAATGAAAGTGACTTCTTATTTCTGTCATTTCTATTTTGCGTAAAAAAATTAAAAAACACTCCTTTATTTTACATTTTTTTTAAAGATTAGAAATTAGCTGCAGATTGATGAACAAATAAATGTTATTGAAAAAATTGCTTTTGGAATTTAAGAAATTTCTGAAAAACATAATCGTTTGTTTTTGGAATTTTATCTTTTTCATGAAAATGGTTTTTTGCTGTTTCAAAATTCTTTATGTTAAAGAATTTTTTTTTTGTGGAAACGCTATTGTTTTCAGATGTTTATATGCTACAAATATTTATGAAATGTACCTAGACGAATGTTTAAGGGAGAAAAACAAAACATTTTGAATTTAGGACTTTTGAAAAATTAGTTGACTTTTTCCGGAATTATTATTTTTAGTAAATGAACAAAAAAAAAACGCCCGTAATATTTGTAGACACTTATAAATTTTTAGGCATTGAACAAACAAATTTATATGATAAAAAATTTCAATAAAATTTTTGTTTTCAGAATTTTATTTTTATAAGGAATTATTTTATTCTTTTTAACGAATTATTCCATTTTTTAATTATTTATTTAGAATTATTTTTATATGGAATTATTTTATTCTTTTTAACGAATTATTCCATTTTTGAATTATTTATTTAGAATTATTTTATTTTTATAAGGAATTATTTTATTGTTTTTAACGAATTATTCCATTCTTGATGTATCAAAATTAAATATTTTCAGTCGCAGTTATATCATGGGTGCAAGTCTTCCGTCCCCAGGACGGATTTCCGTCTTTCGAAAATGTCCGTGGATGGAAGTAAGACGGAAACAAGACTGACTCGAAGACGGAAATCGGATTTTTTTTTCTTCTGTCCTTAAAAATATTTGTTAGGTCTACGTTATTGGTCTACTTTCTTATCTCCTGTTGTTATTTTATCAAAAGACAGATGAATAAATATTTTTTGTACAGTATTTAAACTTGATGTATTATGGTAAAGCTTTCTTAGATAGCTTGCATATGTCGAGGGGGTATTGCGTATGTTAGGTATTTCAGTCAAAAAAAATTTTCAGTCTTTGCCTTTTTTCCAACTTGCACCCATGAGTTATATTTTCTTCTTAATTAGAATGTTACTTAATAACAACTAATACTCCATGTAAAGACAGTTTCTATTATAAATCATTTTTAAAAGTAACGCACTCATTGTTTCCCTAATATTGTGAAACAGAAGTTGTATCGTTCCTTCAACAATTGCCTGGTTTCCACAGAACCGAGTGATAGCCGAAATAAATCACTGTAAAAAATCAGGTTCCAATCCCTCCTCTCCTTTCTTTCCTCCTGCCTTTTTTAATACTGTCCCCGCCCCTCCCGACGATGCGCCCGGGGCCGTTGAACCGATTCGCATGGTTTCCTCCCTTGCCTTTTGCTAAACAGAAGATACAATCGCTTTTCTCCTAAAGTTATGCTGTACAGTGAGCGGCCACAACAATTTAGGGGGTGATGGGCTGTTTCGGACCCTTTGGACTGTATTTGGACAGGTTATCTGCCTCCTTGAGCGTTATCAGCCAGAGACTTGCTACTCGAATTATTGGATTTTCTTAGAGCCCTTTGAGGTTTTAGTTGAAGTATTTTTTTTGGCATTTTTCGTTTTTGAATTTCGCATAATTTCACTGTCTTAAGCCTTGCCGTTCGAAATGAATTTCATGAAGCAATAAGTTAATTTTTGATTTATGTTGAATACTTTCTTTACTCTTCGAAAGAGTCGGGCTTATATGAGAATTTATGATTATTTACAAAAAGCTTTTGGATTTTTAGTATCAATTTGCTTTATTTAAAACAGTTTTTAGATACCGAATCTAATATAAATATAATTTAATGTAGAGGTATACAGAGTATTGGTATATAAAAATAAAGTCAAAGTGGTG